ATCCCTAACATCAATATTCAACCAGTCAATCTTAACAGGCATATTTCCCAATGATTGGAATCGCTAGAATTACTCCGATCTTTAAGTCTGAAGCTAAAGATGAAATGACAAACTACAGACCAATATCAGTTATATCAGTAGTTGCCAAAATTGTAGAAAAGCTGATTTATAACCAAATCTATAATTATTTACATAACTATAATCTACTTTCAAACTCCCAACACGGATTTAGACCACTTCACTCAACTGTTACAGCATTACTGGACATAACCAACGAGTGGTATACAAATATTGACATTGGGAAACTAAATGGGATTGTACAGTATTTCTGGATCTGAAAAAAGCATTCGATACTGTCAACCACAATATACTCTTAGACAAAATAGCAACTTATGGAATAAAGGGAACGGCACATCGCTGGCTGGAGTCGTATCTATCAAATAGGACCCAGTGCTGTTGTGTGAATGGCAAACTATCAAGTCCATCAATTATGAAAACAGGCATACTTCTAATTTACATCAATGATTTACCAAAATGTTTAAACGCCGGGACAAACCAGATATGTTTGCGGATGATACCCAAATTGCAACATCAAGTGACGATATCAAAGTTATCACTGAAACATTAAATAGAGATTTAAATAATGTTGCAAATTGGCTGTCCGCAAACAAATTAACTCTGAACAATAGTAAAACCGAATATATGATAATTGGTTCCAAGAAAAAAGGCTTAGTCAAGTGACTGCCGATCCTGCTATCAGTATAGGTAACTTAGAAATTAAGAGAGTTGAAATGACAAAATCATTGGGCCTAATGATAGACGAGTCTTTAGACTAGACCGCGCAGGTCGAACACGTTTCAAAAAAGGTCACTTCAGGCCTTGCTATTCTCAGGCGACTCCGGGATACAGTCGAATTCAATTCCTTAATAACAATATACAAATCCATAATTCAACCTTATTTCGATTATTGTGCTCAAGTGTGGGGTTGCTTAGGGAAAACATTAGCAGCTAAAGTCCAAAAATTACAAAACAGAGCGTTTCGAATAATCACTCGTGAGAATTATACGACACGATCGGCTGATATATTAAACAAGCTAAAAGTTCCGAACCTCGAAAAAAGAAGAATGCAACAACTTTCAATTCTCATGTACAAGGTGAAAAACAAATTGGTCCCCGATTACTTGTGTGATATGTTCACAAATGTTGGTGATGTACACGACCATAACACAAGACAGTCGGGAGCCGATTTGACATTGCCTAAGCCAAAAACAAATAGTATGAAAAATGCATTCTCCTACAGAGGTGCGGAAGTCTGGAACTGCCTTCCTGCATCGGTAAAAGCATCAACAACTATTGCTAATTTTAAATCTAACTTGAAGCATGCAAATTAACATCAAGTGATCCTGCCATTGTTTCCATCTACTTAAAATAATTTTCTTCTAATTATTTCTTATTTCTGTTTGTGTGAGCACGGCCGGTTGGAAGATCACCTTTTTTCTTTTTATATCTTGTACGAGGGGCATTTCACTCCAAAAAAGCGTACGGGATTTTCGGATTTTTAAAAATCCGCGGATTTTTTAGCGGATTTAGCGGATTTTTCCCGGATTTTTTAGCGGATTTTTGAAGAGAAAATTTGCTGGATTTTCCGGATTTGTTCGGATTTTCCGGATTTGTTCTGATTTTTTCTGGATTTTTGAAAATCTGTTGGATTTTCCGGATTTGTTTGGATTTTCCGGATTTGTTCGGATTTTTTCTGGATTTTTGAAAATCTGTTGGATTTTCCGGATTTGTTTGGATTTTCCGGATTTGTTCGGATTAATTATAGAGTTATAGAGCTAGGTAACGTTTTGAACAAATAATCTTAAGTTGTACGATGTCAACGTTATGCCAGGACGTCAGGGTCGAGCAGAGGACTGGGACTAGGACCACAGCCTTCTGAAACTATTAACGAAGGCTGTGCATGCAGTCAATTTGTATAAAATTCAAACAAGTTCATTATTCTTTCAAAAGCAGTAAAAGACAATGGTGAATAACTTTTGGTTTTGTAATTATATTTTACAACATAACGTCATTGTAACAAGAACACATATTTAGTAGTAATAGGCTAAAAAAACTTAGCGTATACTCGAGCGTATAAATGGAAATGTAGAGTGGTCCAATAATTACGAAATATAATGACAGCGATCACGGTAAGCATTTAGCTTTCGCTGTCCGCCATTTTGAACGTGGCAAAGAACCTTTACGAGTAAATTACACCAAGTACTTCATATATTTTTTGTGGATTTTTTAAGGATTTTGAAGGATTTCTGTGGATTTTTGAAGGATTTCTGTGGTTTTTAAAGGATTTTTTGGATTTTGATGGATTCAATGGATTTTGAGGATTTCATGGATTTTTTCTGGATTTTTTCCGGATTTTTTGACGAAGTGTACGGGATTTTTGGAGTGAATTGCCCCTCGATCTTGTACATAATTAATTTTAGTATAGGTGAAATTGTACCGTGTTGAAATATAGTTCATAATAATAATAATAATAATAATAATAATAATAATAATAATAATAATAATAATAGTGTACAATTAATGAGCGCTAAACACATGTTAATTTATGTGTATTGCTTTCTAATGTGTAATTGAAAATAAACTGTCAAATTAATTATGGATGCATAATAATAATGAAGTGCAATTCCTTGTTTAGTTGGAATGGAATTTTGGAAACAACTCTGTGCTGAACATGGTATTAGTGCAGGTTAGTAAAACTAGTACTCCACTAGCATGAGGCGGTTTCTGCGAAAAAACGAAAACCGACCAAAAAAACCCGAGAAAATCGAGTGAACCGGTTTTTTATAAAACTACGTTCGAAAATCGAAACTACAGTAAAAAAAGACACAACACGCTACTCAGTACTCACGCAAGATATTAAACGTAAGGTATTTTCAAGACGTTATCAAATTTTAAACAAGATTCTCTTTAGTTTTTCGTGTGTAAATGCCAAAACTTGATTCATTTGCAACAAACTCGTATAAGTATGGTTCGATTTTAGTAAAATACCGATTTTTCTTCGGGTTTTTTTTTTCGTTTTCCCCCAGTTTTTTCGGTTTTCCGGTTTTTCTCCAAAAGTAACATCGATTCAGTTTTCAAAAAACATCTGGTTTTCCGCCTCACCCTATACCCCACATTGTTTTAGATTGTGATTTATGGCTACGTAAGGATTTCTATAGGAGGTCCTATAGGAATTCCTGACAGATAAATTCATAAAGGTAAATTGTGTTACAAAGCAAATGTAGTTCTCATGTTCTAGGCATTGAAATTTCTATTTGATAAAAAAATGCAATAAATAAAAACAATAAATGTAGGAGATAATTTAAAGGCATTGCAAAACAATTTTACAAACAGTGCAGTATCTGAAGGTGAGCTTCATGTCAAATGGCAACATTACAGTATTAGTGATACTGCCACAAATGCCAATCGTACAGTTGGTAGTTTTGTAAAAATCTTTTTTCACCGAAACATTACGAAAGACAAGCTAGGGTAATACACTGCTGGGAGGATGTGCAGGTGTCAGGACACACAAGATAATCTATATGCTAGACAATTTCGATCGATCAAAATGCTCAATTCCTAGTTTGCTTCCTTTTTTGGTTCCAGATGATAATCTCCAATAGACCTTTCTTATATTGACATCAAATGCGGAAAAACACTTAATGCGATGCCCCAAGAGAAATTTTTAGCGACAATTCACAATGCAAATAATGTTTTTATGAAATTTATTGGCTCGCCAACGGCTTGTCGTGTCCTGTGGGACATCTCAGTTTCCGTGTTTGACTTCATTAACATCATGACTCAAAATATTGGCCATCATGCAGGGGCGAATGGATGATCCAGACCCCCTCACTTCATAGACGGATTTTGTGGGGGTGCAGGGGGGTGCTACCCCCCCC